ACATATATACAAACAGAAAAATCTGATGCGGACTTCACATGAGTTCCTTGTACGGCCTATTAAATTTTACACATATTTTACCTGCACTTTTGCACGCAATTCTTTTATTCATTTCTAATGATAAGTAACAAGTTTCGTACTTTTCTGCTCGATTCGACGTACGTTTCTGAAGATGCATTTTTAAAATTAGGCAATAACTAAGTTAAGTTACTACCAGTCTACGATTTTGCAAAATCTGAAAATCAGCATTTACCAATAATTTTGCTCAAAATACTAATTTGTAAACAAGACACTCTATTAGCACAGGAAAAACCTTCTCTGTAGTGTACATAGTGTAATATTTACAATATTTTCGATCATGTTGCAGAGCACACGTAAATTAAAACGCCTATTCCAACCTTAACAGTGCTATCAAGAAGATTTATGGTAAGCTTATAATCGTGGCTGCATTATCATTAGGGGAAAGTTTATCATTCTTAGGTAGGGTACGAACTGCGCCAAATTTGATCGAAAATCCCCGTCCCCCTCTTTTCTAATGCACGAACTGCGCGACGTTTCCTGTCCCCCATTTCTTTCCAGGAAGATTGGGTGCTACAAAAAGTCGTTTATCGCCATTAATGGGGCATTCTGTTGAGACTGCAAGCCTTTATTTTCGTTTATCAATATTGTAAAAACTGTGCATGTAAAACAAATATTAATTTATAGTCTGTCGTGTGCTAAAAAATAAATTTCTTTTACACTCATTTTAAAGTTTTATGATGCTTAAAGGAATGATGAGCCAGATCTTTTTTATTCTCTGTAAGAATTAAAAACTTTCCAAGTTGTAGATTTTAGTCACTGATATATATATTATCAGTTTTGAATAATAAAATTGATAGATTAATGACATACACAAAACTGATACATAATCAACGTATCAAATATCGGATTTGTAGCTCACCTTAAATAAGTTTCTTGTCTAGATAAATATTAACAAATCTTCTTAGATAGCAGAATGGTTTTAACTTTCAAATTTACCATTTAGGTAAACAGTTCTAATTTAATTATAAAAATTCTTTATTAAATCTTAAAATTGGACTTCTTAAGTCGTTCTAAATTCACACTAATATTATTGCAATATATTCCCGAATTAAACTTTCCATTTTTAATTATTGAAGTTATTTTAAGGTTATTTAACTTTGTTACAAATTCCATATTTTAATACTAGAAACGTTTAAATATTTATTCTGTTTTCCACCTGGCATACATTTAATTTCTAATACACATTTAATTAATAAATTAATAATTATGAGCGACAGCAGAATTTTCATAATTAACAAAAAAAAATTTAAAAAAAAAATAATAAACTCCTTATATTCATATCCTGGGATTTTCAGTTCCCTTTTAATCCATTCCTTTTTCACATATTGTTGCACTGTACTCAAGTTTTCATGCATGTAGAATTTATATACTTTGTATTGTACTTATGCCAATTTATATTTAAATGATAATTTTTACAAATTCTTGCATCACAACTCTAGTTAACAAAAGATGTTTCTAACACCTTGGCAAAGCTTAATCTTCAGCATGTAGCTTATTTTCCAACCTAGTTTCAGGCTGAATTATTTGTAAAATTAATTACTTGAAATTATTTGTTAACAAAGATGGTCGCTAAATCACGCTAATAATACTTCTAACTGTTGTAATTTATAATACAACGAGTTCATGTGATTTATAATGTAATTCATTTACAATTTTTTCAGCAGTATTGAAATTAATAGCAGATACTCATAATAATATACATTTAGATTACAATGATTTAAATTACCATTGCCTTCTTCACTCATGCTTTTATGCTACATTCCTAAAATTTCATAATGGCATACAGGTAAGTTTAACTCATTCACCAAACATGTAAATCTCTAATTCAGCCCACTTTTGTTCTTACGTGTGCTGTATCTTCTATTTTCTTTGATATATTGTTCAGCCTAATTTCAAAAGTCACTAAACATTGGTAGTTCGACCGAGTATTTTCTTTGACATATTGTTCAGCCTAATTTCAAAAGTCACTAAACATTGGTAGTTCGACCCGAGTTTCTAGTCCCAGTGATATCCCCCAGGCTCTTACTTTTTTTGTGTACTTATTTACTGTGTAAAAATGTAGCGTAAAACTTTCAGTTCATGAAGTAAAAATACTTTTTTAATTTATTCTTTTAAAATTTATTCTTTAAACATATTGCAAAAATTTTTACCTTTACCTTTAGCATATCTTTTTACAAATCCCTCTAATAAGAAAAAATAAGTAAAGAAATTAACTCCGTTTTGGTGATTGATACCTCGGTGCAAATTATATGTAACATTTTTCCAAAAGCATAGAGTTTATATGAATATCAATAAATTAAAGATTATTTCTCCATCTAATTTTCTTAACATGTTTATTCCAGAATTTTCTTTTCACACTGTAGCGCTTAACTTTATGAGTTTTCTATAATCATTCAATTAATCTAGCCATGGCAAATTTGCATGCCTTCTGACAAGTTGTTATATTTTTAACCACTGTATTTTAATTCCTGTTGGCTATCAGTACATTATTCACTTGTTTCACAAGTGCAACTTTTATTTTATACGCAAATCTACGTAGAAATAGCAATTAAAACTTCAGTTATGTGGAGCTCCTTGATCGAATTGCTTTGTTTTAGATTGAATGAAATTAAGCTTTAATGTTGCTGTTAATTAGCTTGTTACTTAATTTAATTGTATGTTTCGAACTTAATTATATGTTCAGATATTCCAAGTATATTACACAAACTTTTGCATCCCAATTTTAGTTTTTTTGGTTAAAAAAATAAGCTTTTATTTATTGAGAGGCCTGATTGATTATATTAATTTGCAGTACTGTTTATCTAATTCTTTTCTTCTAGATAAAAATTTTGAAATACTTCTTAGCATAATAATTTTTAATTTATTTACAATTTATACGTCAGTGATCCAAACGCATAGTAATGTTGTTATAATAGATTTCATGCTAAGCTTTTTTTAAATTTAACTATTAATTTCTGCAAACATTTACATGATTGCTTTAATTAACGAAAAATATTTCTAGCACACTTTAACACACTTTGATATGGAATAATTTTGCACTCTATTAAATTTTCCCGTCTTGTTCAGACATCTTGACTATTATTGATGTAATTTATTAAAAATATAATTTGTATGCTTTATAATTATTTAAATTATATTATTATCATAAATGAAAGATGTTTGTAATGCTAATATGTATGTTTACCAATAAATACCTTTTATTTTCTTTGTTAGCTCTAGCATTTATTACAGTTATTCAAGTAATTAACCTGCTTGTTAGATATTTTTTACTTGTTCTTGTGATATGTAATTCTATTTATTTATTTTTATTTTCCTCTTGGCTACAATTGGCATGAAAAGTTAAATTGTAACCCTGTAGGCAGCAGGGGGGAAGAAATTGTGATTGGCGCAGTTGGACTATAGCTCGACCCGGGGGGGATTTTTCATTAGCGCAGTTGGAGTACACTCCATTCATACAAATGGGGGAGGGGGGAAGAAAAGAAAGTCTGAAAGCTTTCCGATATTATATTACGCCCCAGAAGGCGCATTTTTTAACGTTAGCATTTAAATATTAAATATCATGTTCTTCGTAAGTAAACCACATAAAATTAATTTCAACAGCAATATCATAAAATATTCAAAAACAGCATATCTTTAAAAATTCCTATACACAGACTCGTGCGCTGGAGATAAAAGTGTTTTTTTTTTTTTTTTTTTTTTTTTTTTTTTTTTACACTGGTTTAAAAAAAAGTAGCGTTGCCATTGCTCGCTTTGAAATCGTTGAGTTTGTTAATCAAAAATTTGTTATAGTTTTACAAAACATAACATAGATAATAAAATCAGTTCAAAATTCGGGCTTTACAAGTGCCTATGCTCGGTTGGAGAACTACGTTATTCAAAACATACATTTTTTTTTCACAATGCAGGAAACATTCATACAGATTCTTCATTATTTAGTTTCTTTAAATAGTATAATACATGATGATAACATTAGGTGGCAACAGTTTGAAAAGTGAATCAACGCAGAAAGTGAAACGACGCAAAATGACGTTTTACTATGCTATGCCTGCCCGGTCTGGGCATATTCATGCAAATCTTATAGAAAAAAATTGCGACAGGCGCAAAACTGTGTCCTAAGACAGATTACCAATTCGCCCTGGTACGTTCGAAATCAAAAGTTACATAAAGAATTGGGTATAGAACAACTTAAGTATTTTTACTGCCGGCTCGCCCGGAACTTCTATACCAATCTTGTTAATATCAACAACTCAGTTATAAGGATTTACGATTACGACTTTAATGACCCAAATAATAGTAAACAGCCTATGGCCATACATAGTACCCATATTGTATAACTTATTTAATCTAATATGTACCTCTTAATATTGTGTTATAGATTTAAGGTTTAATTATTACTAGTGCACCAATAAACTCACAATACTTTACCTATTATTTATACAAATATTTTTTCTGCATCAGGCTATAGCCACCTCATTCCTCCTTTCTCGGCCTTCCCAGATATAGCACTTCAGGTCTATTGAAATTTGACGCATTTAGAAATTTATCTTTTAATTTATCTCTTATCTTATTTCTATTCTTATAATTTAAAAAAAATGTTAAAAACATATAAATTCTAAATATATACTAGTTACTCATGACAGTATTCGAAATAACATATATCTGTTCTACAAGGGGTAGGGTCCTTGACCCAGGCACCCTGGTGCTACACCGTTTCCCCAGTGCGTCAAAAATGCCGTTTTAAGACTGATACCAGCCCTTTGGGTCTAACGCCCATTTCGCCTAAAAAAAAAAAAAGAATATTTGAAGTAGATAACAATAATTAAACGTGCATGTAAATGCATTAGGTTGACAAATAAAAAAATATTAGCAAAGTCTTTAAAACGCAAGCATTTATAAAGCTCTAGGGCATACAAAGAATCTGGTAATGCATATCACATAAAAACGAAATGGCAATATCGCATCGGTTCTTTACTAGTAGTGGATTGGAATTTCAAAAGCATTTTAGAGCAACTGACACAAAACTAATTCAAAAAAGTTAAGTATTATGACTGAAGAAAGCTTATTTCACTTGTAGCATTGCAGGGGGGAGGGCATAAACACTTCGTTTGGGCTGTTACTGATAATGTTAAGTGCCCTACTTCACGCCGACAAGGCAGAGGCAATAAAGTTGATAATATCTCTCACGAGAAAATTAAAAATGAGAGTTCTTTCAAGTTGTGATGACAAGAGCGACTTTCTTCTTGCATTTTTCGGTCTGAAAGAAGCTGTGGATGCCATTCTGTGCTGCATGAAATTGTGACAGTTTGAAGGAAGCACTTCTGCTGATGATGCTGCACAACTAGTGGTCTTCAAACCTGTCCACTCTGGGAACCTCTAAAATTATAATATTTTAAAACCTATTATTATTATTTTAGCCTTAGGAAAATAAATGATAAAAATCCATTGAAAATATACCAATGTTAGAAACTTTATAAGGAAAACCATATAACCATTCCATTATAATCTTACTCATAAAAACAGATTTTTCGCTTCATATTATTTTCTTATTTTCGGTAACAATAAGAATAGGAGGAAAATATTACTAGAAATTTGAAGTTTTGTAGTTCATGTGGCATATAAAAATTCTTCCAAATTTAGAATTGTTTAGAACTGCTAGATCCGCAGTTTGAAAATCCATTGTTTGTACAAATTAGGAATGACCACTGCTTTTTATATTCCAACACTCAAAGCATACTGCATGGTATATATATATATATATATATATATATATATATTATATTTTTTTTTTTTTTTTTGGCCAAACTTTGAAGAAAGTACTTCAATTAAAAAAAAAAAAAAAAAAAAAAAAAAATCTCATAATAAAACACTCAAAAATATCTTTACAAGAAGGGTGGCCATAGTTGAAAATTTTTCAAAATCAAACTGGATTGTATTATTTAGGGATGTTGAAAAAATATGAAAACACCTATGCAGCCCCTCCCAGGGCGGGGGGCGTGAATGGTAATAAACAAGCACACGAGCGCTACAGCCTTCGAAAAGCTACCTTCCCGGACGATGTTCTCAGGAAAACTACGTTATACTCACGTTAAATACCGGGAAAATCTATAGATAGCCCATTAACAGAGAATCCAAAAACAAACCAGTCATCTGACACACTCGGCTATCACAGGTGGCTCTGCTCACAGAGAATCAAATATCAAGCACACGCTGCGCAGTTCCTTACGCCTGGATTGGAATCTTGAACCTAAGTGCCTATACAGTAAAACAAACGAGCCTACTTTCTTGGGAGAGGGATGTCTTTGTGGAGGACTTTCTAAGAGAAACTGGCTCATAATCATGTTACACAGAATCATAAAAAAATAACCAAGCTGCCAGGCCGTTTGCTGGAATTCGAAACCAGATCGAACTATCAATGTTCAGTGGTTTTATGCATTTAGTCACTGGTGGATGTTGCCAATCTCCTATAAAAATCCTTTCAAGATCAACTTATTGTTAATTAAAAGGAATGTACCTCTTGACTAGTCACAATAAAATTATCGGCTTTCACCAATCAAACCTCTAAATATAAGAAGACGGTCAAAAACTGATAACTAGTAAATGGCCATTCGTTTTTAAAGCATATAATGTACAAGCAAAGTCTTGGAGTAGCCATCTCTCTTTATTATTCCTATTATTATCATAAGAAACAATTTTACAGATTTAAGACATATCTGACTCACAAGGTAAAATTTTAAAAGTGTTAGTGTACGTGAAGTCTACAAACAGCAAAACCAGAATAAATTATTAGCAGCATCCTTGAAAGGGAAAAAGGATGTAGAGTTCTTACTTGCCGTTTTACAAGCAATTATTTCCACCACAGAAAAAGGATATGAGACGCTTGTAATAGGATTTTTGTTTTCTTTCCTTGTTAATAGATTTTCTGGATTTTGGTTACAACATTAAATGACGCGTGGTGGGAAAGCCGCGCTTTCAGAAAGGAAGTTCTGACAATTCGACTGTCACATATTAATAAATCACATTTGCAGTTTCAGTCAGAAAGCTTACTACTAAGAAACTCGGTTCACAAAGGAAACACCATAATCACTTGGTATGAACTCTCAGAAGTATTGTTCAGACTAGTGTCGTCCTCAAATGAGATATGAAATTTCTGTACAAGTTACAGTACAACGCTATTTACCGTACTATGGAATAACTTTAATTAAAAGATTATATAATTTCTATTGGAACAATTTTTATTAATAGAATAAGAAACTTCGCTCAATCGAAGTTTCAAAATCCTATCTTGTTACAACGTTCTTAACAACAACAACAAAATTTACATTTCAATGGCTATATACTCGATAAAATAACAGTACCGACAAAAAACAAACCATTTAAAATTTTCTTTTAAGACTATATATAACTGCCAAAATATAACTGCCTTATAAATACAATCAAACTCAACTATAATGGGAATATATAAGGAATGATGAATTAGTAATCTCTGCAAACAAAAAGGGTTGCCATAATATTTGGCCTCCTTCGAACGAAACTATGAGTTTCAAATATTCCACATGGGATAAAGGCTATAAAAAGAGCAAGATAAACTGATATGAATTACATACTACAGTACAAAGTCCGTAATCAGGACTCGTCGGGACTTCAGCGATTCTGGATTAAGGATTTTTCGGATTATAGATCACCAACTTCAATTTGGTAACATGGCATGCAGAAATTATAAAATTAAAAATATGAAACCGTAATTTATGAAATAAAGAGCAATTATTATCTAAAGGGTATCAAAATTTACAAAAAAAAAAAGCTTAATATTTATTTGTTTACTTTATTAAACACTTCTTTCAATGCAAGTTGTTTAAGTTGCTTCATTTTCTGTGCTAAACGCGCATGCGTAAACATTAAACGTGCATGCGTAAACGCATACCAAAAAAAAAAAAAAAAAAAAAAAAAAAAAAAAAAAAAAAAAAAAAGGTTTGTGTCTTTGAGGTCCAGATTAGAGATCATTCCGGATAATGGACGTCCAGACTACAGACTTTGTACTGTATAACCAAATTCGAACATACATTATCGTGACTATAAAATATTAACAAACATTATATAGCTCAACTCAAAAACAATTAGCCATAGAACGTTACAATTTTGCATATGGGACTGCTATAACATCTAGTTTTGCATCTCCCTTTTTAGCTGAAATGTGTTGGTAAATTGTGCATTTTTTGCTTTAAAAGTGATTGAATTATGTTGTTTTTATATTTCAGTTAAGTTTTTTATGCCTTTAGTTAATATGTGGTAGAATGATAAAAAATTTCAAAGTAGCGCTAGGCCTAAAAAGGCTGAGATTTGTTTACACTTGAAACTCTTAGAGGAATAGTGAATTAATTCAAGGAGGTTAGATTGATTAAATCGGTTAGTGCACCAACTTTAGAGCTTTTTTGCCCAGTCGAACCGAAAGTCAACTTTCAGTTTTGTTTGTGCATCGAAAATTTTCTTTCTGCCCGTTGGCCGAATTGCTTGGTTTTACGTATAAAATTGTTTTTTGAACTGTTTTTTAACTGTATATGGTGTATTACGTTTTTCTGAATTTTACAAATTCTAATGAAGATGTTTTGGTTTTTATGTATTCTTGCCTTGTCGCGAAATGAGAAGTGAGGTCACTAAATAAGAAATATATCTCTAATGAAATTCGAAGAAATAAGTTTAAATGAATTGCAGGAAAAAGTACGTATAATTTAAGGCCACAGGACATGGAAGTCCTGTGGTCTCCACATGAAATTTCTATTCTTTAAAAATCCCACAGTTACAAACTGAGTAATTCCAAAATCGATGATTTGGTTCTTAGAGCTTATTGAAAACAGAACTTCCAATCATTATTATGACTTAATCAACAAAATAGTTTCAGATTTTGAGATGAACCAACTGAAGAATAATTTCTATATTTGAAACAGAGCAACAAAGTGCGTTTAAGACATGCAATGTATTTGACATTAATAATTCATAATTTAAAAAAAGATTCATGTTAATTTAGTTCATGTCTTGCTTCACATTATAAAGAATTCTGGGTGCTTATGTATTAGCACAACCACCTTAGTAGAAGTTACCAGATTTTCTGGATGTGCCAAACTCTGGCAATGAGCATGGATTAGCGCTTCAATTACACAAATTTGCGAAATATTCTTTGCGCATTATCACTGTCTATTCCTAGCTACAGTTTTAATCCTTTATTGCGGGAATTAATTAAGTCAAATATTAAATTTTTAGTTTGCAATGTTTTGAGAATGTAAGCAGAGCAGGTAATAAAATACAACCTTAGTTAGAAAAACTCTAGGACAAAGGTCGTAAAAAATAGAAAATTGCCTTTATCAAGTAATGATCCTAGCTGCTATCAAAGTAGTCCCCTTGGCCACTACTGCCAACGTTTCTGAAGGTCTTGGAAGGAAGCAGGGTAATCTTCAACTGTGATGCTTGCAAGCTCATTGAATGTCTTCTTGATGAAGCTTTCCTTTCAGTCACCTTTTCATCACTCACGGAAACAAGAAAAAATCACAATCTTTGACACAAATGTGAGATCACGTCTGACTCTATCGAATAGTTTAGCAAAAACTCTTCGTCTTTCCTCTTTCTGTTCATCTGTTAGTGAGTGAGAGACGATTTTCGCATTAAGTTTCCGTTTCCATAAAGCTTCGCGTAAAATCTCATGACACACATCACGATTCAAATTCAGTTCTTCTAATATCAAACGCACAGTTACACAACGGTCTTCTTGCAACAACTACGTTACACGCTCCACGTTTGCATCGGTATATGCTATAGAAGGGCGACAGCTCTGCGATCGTCTTGCACTGAATCTCTATCTTCACGAAACTATTTATGCCACTCGAAAACAAGACTTCTTGAAAGTGCCTCGCCTGCATATGCTTGCTTAATCATGTTCCACGTTTCATTAGGGGTTTTCCCGAGCTTAACGCAGAACTTAATGTTCACTCTTTGCTCACAATCAGCATCCATTGTGTCACCTTAACAAATGCGAAACTAATCTGAACAGTGTGTTGCTAAGCACAGCCCTGCCCCTTAGTAAGTTTGCGAGGAAACATGGCCAAGATGTCAAGTAAGAATACATACCAGGTAACATAAAAACAACATTTGTTCCTTATTAGTATTGCAAAGTCAGAAATTAAAAAAAAAAAAAAAAATGTCCTGGAGTTTTTCTGACAAAGGATGTATGACTGACTGATGTCCCAGTGGATGTATTTATTTTACATACACAAAACTATGTACGATTTCAAAGTTCAGTAGCGCTTCTAATATAAGGCGTAAACAACCACAGAATATTTCAAACAGGATGAAAATTGTTTTGCGTGTGAGAGTTACGTAGCATT